GCTGCAGTCTTTTCATATGGCCCCTTACCGAACATGTTTAAACGATTGGATTAAGTTGCAAATAACGTCTGTTTTTACTGAACTAGTGGAGCCCAGTTCTACTCAGCTGTCAACTGGAATAACAAACAGAGCAATCTAAAGCTGGACTCATTTTGATTCTCAGAGAATTTCAAGTTTTCATCTTGTTTTCCTCCAACCATTCTGGTGTTAGTTGTTCTATGTGGTCTTAACCCTCTGGACACCAGAAGTGAGTTTTAAAGGCATTTAATCTTTAAAAAAAGACAAAAAAAAAAAAAACACCAAAAAGAGATTTTTCTGCCAAATACTGCAAAAACAGATTGAATCATTGGATTAGCTAACCATGTGTGATGTTTCCTCCAAGAAAAATAACCAAATCTAAGCCTAAAATCATGTTGTGTCATCAAAAAACCTATATTCTACATGTTACCTTTAAAAATAGGTCAAAACAGGATATTTGTTCTCATCAGATTCTGTAAAAAACTAAAACATTGTGTCCTCCTCAGAGGAAGCCTTTAGTGACTCAGCTGTGACCAACATTCATGTGATGAAAACAGAGACAAGTATAGAAACTAACTAAACATCTAAATAGTTAAATATCTACAGTATGTAGAGTCACCAGTGGTAACAACACCCATAGACAGTTAGAAAGGTGTTGCACATGTTGATAACACAAGTTTTCAGTTTTTGTAAAATAAATATTTGAAGAGTTCATTTGCAAAACCAGATAACTCCATTTTTGTAGATTTTCAGAAAAGTTATTTTTTTTATTGTTTGCTTGAGATGATATCAATCAAACTGAAGTTGAGTGGATTTGACTCAGTAGAAATGACAAAAATAGAGATAAATTGATTGATATTGTCTCAGATAGACGATGGAAAATGGGTTTTCTGAAGGTTTGCGAAGATGTTTTTGCAAATGAACTCTTCATTTAAAGAAATTTATCTCTGTTTCTTTTTTATGATTTACGCTGTTGAAACCTTTCTATACTGCTATGCTTTCCTGGAGGTGCAAGATTTTATATTGCAGTGAAAAATTTGTAAAAATGTGACACGAGCAAAAAAAAGATGCTGTGAAACTGCTTCAGATCCATCAGGATTAAATATGAATTTCTCTGTTCTTAATAGCTTTATTATTTTGCAGCTTGTCATACCTTTACTTCTAATTTTATTATAGTTTTTTAAAAATGCGTATGCCTACATATGCTGTTTATTTGTGTCTTTGCTCAGTTATATTGTAAATGAAGCGTCAACCAAGAAAATAAACTAAAAGATGCTGCCGACATCAGGGGGAGACTCTTTACTATTACAGGCCAAGATGGTGAACCACATGGGACAGTTTTATTCTGCAGGATTTAGGGGAGACCTTGTGTTGTTGTTGTTGTTGACATTATACTAATAATAACCTACATAGAAATGATCGCAAGCTTTCATTTCAATCAAATATCACACACATTGTTGATAACTGTGATAAACTGCTGCAAATATTCTGACTCGTGACGACCAGAAAGATGGAACTCAGCGGAAAAGGAAAAAGGACTGCAGCCATTAATATTAAAATTATAAACAGTTTTTGTAAGGTCTCTGCTGTGACAAACTAGATTGCTGTTAAAAATAATAATAATAGCAAAGATTTGCTGAGTATTTAAAGTTGTCTTGTGGAAATTCCCTGACAGGTTTGTTCACTTGACATCTCTCAGTTCATTACGTGTCGTCAGAGTCTGTGAAACCTCTTAAAACATTTGCAGGCTTTACTTTTAAAGTTTAAAGGCTGCTTTGTTTTCATTAGCTTGCAGCCTTCTTCTTCTTCTTCTCCTCTTTAATGGAGCTTTGCTTCCTTTAATGGCACATTACAGCCGCTAACGGTCGACGCGTTTTCCCAACTCCTGCTCCTGAAAGCCAAAATACGCCTCAGCTCCACCTCGCGCTGGTTAACCAGAAAGACTTCAACAAATTCAGGCAACGTTGATCTGCAGCGCTGCCGCAAAACTGCAAAAGCTGCCTTTAATCAAGCAAACTAAAGATTTTTGTTCTGGCTGCCTGACCATCCTGAACTACCCGACCTCACTAATGCTCTTGTGGCTGATAAGAAGCAAATCCCTGCAGTCGGGCTACAAAACCTTGCGGGCGGCCTTCCGGGAGAGACGAGGCTTCTGCAGCAGCACGTCTTTGACAAGAGGTGATTAATAATTACACACAGAGGACACGTTTTTGGGCGTCCATGTACTACTTTTGGTCATTTAAGTGCATATTTAGTTGGAGGAATTCTAAATTTGATCAGAAATATTCCCTTCCTGACTTCATAACTAAACTATCTGAACACTCATAGCCCATTAATACCTGTTTAATTTTTTACAAATGCAACAGAGCAGGAGAAAGTTGCCCTGCAGTGCAACCAAAACCACTAAATTTTGATGAGGAGCTTCCCCCCCGACTGGGCAAACTGGCTGATTTCATACATTCTTGAAGCCTCTGTAAAGCGACTGCAGCTCCTTCCTGGTGAACTGGGTCTGGGCTTGGAGCTGCTCGAGGCCTTCGGGTTGGTGACGCACCATCGAGAGCTCCAGATCGCTGTCGGTGCTGTCTGCCACACGGAAACAGAGAAAACAGGGAGAGGCGGAGGGGGAGGAGGAGGAAGGAGGGAAAAAGAGGGAGGACATAGTGGTAAGAGGAGAAAGAAAGAAAGAAAGAAAGAAAAAGGGAAAAAAAAAGGAGGACAGTGGAGGAGTTGAAAATAGTGGAAAATCAACGAGATAAACGGATGAAAAGTAAAAACTCAAAATGCTCACCATCTTTATTAAATTTTGGAAACAACAAAAAAATAAAAAATAAATAAAAAATGGAGGGGGTTGAAGAAGGAAAGGTGGGAGAAGGAAATGGGTGGGAGATACAGCAGCATGAGAAGAACGTCCAGCATCAGATCAAACAAGACAATGAGACAGAAGGAAAGAAGAAGAAGAAGGAAAAAGTGGGAGAACAAACTCAAGGAACCTGTCGCGTGAAGAAATACTGCAAAGAAATCGGAGCGATTAGAGGAAAAAGCAGATATTTGATAAGGATGTAACACCTTCTTCAGCGCGGACACTTTGCTGTTATGTTTGAAATAACTCTGAATATTTCCTCACTAGTTTACAGTCAGCAGTAGTTTGAGATTCACACTAAAAACATGAGAGAAATTAATGATCTGTCATGATATCAGATTTTTACTAATTATTCTGACTGTCCTGACCAATCAGAATCAGAATCAGAATTTCTTTATTGTCATTATATGAGAACAAAATTAAAATCCTAACATAATCCTGTATAACAAAAATAAAATAACAAAAATAAAACAAACAAACAAAAAACCCCACAAAAAACATACAAGACTCTCAAGATAATTCATAAAAACATTCAGTAAAACCCATTAAACACTAGAATTACTGATGTGTCCTGAGTTCAGTGCATATATGGCATTTGCATAGAAAACCAACATTATTGCATTATCTATAAAATAAATGTAAAAATAATTCTATCAGTCAGTTTTATCGTTTGATTTGTTTTTTCCATTTTTTTGTCAACATAATTACACTTGAAATAGTGTAAGCGTGCACATCCCAACTGTATTTAATGTGTTTAATAGTGGGATTATTTAGAATACTGTCATATGTGTATTATTATATTAATATTAAATTGTTATAAATATCATAGTTATTATCAATATCACTATAAGCAGCACCTCTAGTTGTCTATATGACTATTTATAGCTTAGTAAAATTACGTAAAAATTACCTGACAAATATGCAAATATATTTAGCTGCATTGTTGACATTTAAAATCAAATTACTTTTAATTAGTTAAAATCTCCATATGATGTTTTGTTTTTGTTTTTTTTTTATTTAGAGCAAAATAAGCCTTGAAACTTAAAGGCTGGGGATTTGAGTATCATTATTCATTCCTCAGAATTGGTTTCTGGTTCTAACTTTCAGGCTAAATCCCTCCAGTTTTACAATTAATTTGCCATTGCATACCGTAAAGTAGTTTTACAGTGTTTGAGGTGAGCTGGCATGCTCGAGCTGCAGCGATCAACACAGAGATGTGGACTCTATGTGCACACGTTAAAGGAGGTAACTGTGTAGAGCTACATGAAACTATTTTAAAACATGAAGGCAAAGTTTTAGTGGGAAAAATGTTTTAACTTATAACAGATTGATGTTTGGTACAATTCTGAAACTCAGATAAAAAAGGAGCAAATAAGAGGGGATTTAAGACACAAGCATTTCTCTTGAGCTAAAAGCAGAGAGCCACTATGTGCAACATCACACTTCAATTCAATCCAGCAGATTTACTTACGCCTGCATTTGACAAATCAAGAGAAAAGGTTTATAATTTCAGCTTCAGGGGGGAAAAAACGAAACTTACAAGCTCAGTTTACAACAGAACCAGCAGGGAGACTTTTCTAAAGACAGCAAGGATTAAATGAAACTAAAGAGGAGCAGCACTGCACCGTACTCACCATCTTTACAAGACAGTCACACAAACAGAGGAGGGTTGGAAAAGACAAAGGAGACAATGAGAAGAGGTGATGAAGAGATGAGACAGAGGGAAGACAATTCACAAGAACGGTAGAATGTTTGACTTTAGATTTCACCAACAGGGTGACTGAACTGTTAAAGGCTCACAAGAAATCTTTTCAAAGTTCACAAAAGTGGGATTCTGTACTGAAAAGGGCTGGAACATGCATGAAAAGAAGGAGAAAATACACTAAACAAAGACACTTTGAACCTCTTCTTTAACATTTTACATCCAGCGTGACGACAGTTATGATTTTGATGTCAACTAAATTAAATACAAAGAATGATAATATGGTTGCGCTGCTACACGGTGAAGTTTCTAACCCAGTTTAATTCCTCTGTTGTCTTTGCGTCTTACCTTCCAGCGACAACGGCTCCCAAATCCCAAACTGTTTGAGCACCACAATAAACAGTCCAATCACAACAATTATGGCAATTACTTCCATGCCATCCAAACCCATTGTTGCCTTGCATTAGATGACACCTCTGCAAAAAACTTCCCCAAAAAATAATTCTAACTAATTCTAAATCAAACGTCCGCAGCGTCCATCTACAAACATCACCTGCTGCCTACCATCTCCTTCTTCCAGTTGCCTCCTTTTATTTATTTATTTTTAAATCAGTGCTGTTGTACAAGCATCAGCAGTTATTCCCAGACTTAAACCGCTGACCAATTAGGACAAAAGCTAACAGAGCGACTGCTTCGTTAAGTGAACGGGTCCAGCGTCCATCAAGTGCAAATATAGAAATTCAAAGGTTCCCGGTTCCCCCAAATGATCCAAAGTTGCCTCCGCTCGCTCCATCTCGCTCGCTACTCAGCAGCGTTTGACATCCTGGTTCAATTTTGGGATCTTTCCCACAACGCCATCAACCCGTTCGCTCCACCTCCACTTACTGCTCCGTCCTGAGCTTTGTGTGAGTGTTACATGTGTGTTTGAGGTTGGTGGTGTGGGCGGAGTGGGCTGGTACTGAAGGAATTTCTTTACTAATAGTCTCTGATTGACAGTCTAAGCGGTCTTTATTTGCGCAGTCATTTCAAGGATGCAAAACTGTAAAACCAAGCATTGATCCGCATCTGCTGATGGCTGGGATATGAACAGCACTTAGAGTGAAGGAGCCGGCCCTGCCCTGTGTGGCGCTGCTCGTGTCTACTGGGTTTGTTTGGCGATGCGCACACTCAATAACTCAGATGGGCTTCCACTCAGAGCTAGGAAAAAAAAAAAAACACATAACGACTGTAAAAAACAGTGCTTGGTTTATGGCATCGTAATGAAGCTAAAGTGAATTATATCCACGCTGCAAAGGTGCACTGCACACCTCAGAGGTACATGTTGCTGCTGACGGCCTCTGCAGCTCACATACGTGCATCTCGGATGTTAAAAAAGTCGTGTTTCCACGAGTCCTGCTGCTGCTGTCGAGGCCTTGTATGATTATGCTGTGTTGGAGAGTAAAGAAGAATATGACTTCACGTACTGATGAGTCTGCACAACGTAATGGACTCAGTTTAAAGGAGGGGGGGGCGGGGAGCAAATCAATTGTTGAGAGGTAAAACATTGGTCTGTGAACGGGCTGAGAAAGTGGGCCAGATATGCATTCTGATGGCCGGGGATGCTTTATGTGAGTTAAAGACTTCAAATGGATTTAACGGCTTCTGAAATAGCGCGATGAGACGCTAAAAATATAAAGAAATCTCAGTTGTGTGCCTACGTTTAAAATGTGCATGCAGAAAACTGGGAAAATGCGACTTCTGTGGGGTTTTCATGATGACACGTTTGCCAAAATGTGCTCAAATTACAAACAGAGGCTTTATTCTAACTATATTTTAGCACATTTTCCACTGCAACCCAAAGTGCTCCGTTCACTTATGCATCCTTCTAATATCACATAACTTTTACGAGTCAGCTGGACAAACACCGAGATGAGATTTTATGGGTTGTCCTGCTAATAAAATGCAGCAACTAGTTATCTCTTGCATGCAAATGTGGACTTTTTTGCAATACTGCTGACGCGGGGGTTACTCCCACTCGACCAAACACGCAAGATGCACGAGCTCATGTGGTAACTGGGCCGTCATAAAAATAATGCAACACTATGCTGTTTAATGCACCTTAAGTGCTGATCTATCCCTGTTCTTCTATTAAATACAGACAAGAGTGAAGGTGGCTTAAGCATGCAGAGATGCAGACAGTGCAGCCATCAGTCTCACCATCAGGCTTTAATGACTGCAGTGAGAGCAGCATTACAGCTCAGAGACCGGCTCCATCAATCACACACTGTCGCTGCTAGTCACTCACACAACTTTCCTATCGCTGAAACTTTTGTCTTTGTGCTCGTGGAGCTTTAGTTGTCGGATGTTTAATTTATTTTGGCAAGAAATGACCTTTCAGACACACGGCAGGGTGAAAAGGACACGAGAGAACCTCATCTTCTATTCAGATTTGTCCAGTTTTGGCCAAATGTTGAATTGCAAAGGGGGGCTGCAGTTGGTAGCACTGTTGCCTCGCAGCAAGAAGGTTGCCGGTTCGTGTCCCGGTGGGGGCACCTGGATCTTTCTGCGTGGAGTTTGCATGTTCTCCCCGTGCAGCGTGGGTTCTCTCCGGGTTCTTCCTCCCACACAGTCCAAAAACATGTTGAGGTCAATTGGTGATTCTAAATTGTCCGTAGGTGTGAATGTGAGTGTGCTTGGTTGTCTGTCTCTAAGTGTAGCTCTGTGATAGACTGGTGACCTGTCCAGCTGGGATAGACTCCAACCCCCCATGACCCTAGTGAGGACAAAGCGGTGTATAGATGATGGATGGATGAATTGCAAAGTCAGTTCTCTTCCCCCAAATGGACACATGTACATCTGATTACCTGACAAATACAAACTAAACTGCAATGCCGTCCATTTTTATGTCAGTATATCTATTGTATGCAGGCCATTCAAACACTACCTGAGCTACTTCTTCCACCCAGCAGCTCACTGAAGACAGATAAAAATGCTGTTGTTTCTTTCACTAACACCAAATTAGAGAAAAGCTTAAAGGCAGCGAAGAAACAACATAATACGGTGCAATAGTTCCTTTGTGTTAATATCAAAGTTCAAAACTGACAGACTTTGATTTAAGTTGTTGGTTTAACCCTGTAAAACTCATCTCTGTGCATCAGAGATACATGTGTAGAAGCCTGATTAGCTTCATTTTGTCTCCTCTGGTTATAGGTGCAGGGTTTCTTTTTTTTTTTTCATCAGACAATGAGTGTTTTTTAGATAGGAGCTGTTTTTACCACCAGCTGATGAAGACACGTCACCACAGACGTCAGTGACATTTCTGAGGAAAACTGAAGTGAAACATATCAAAGGTCAACGGCTCATATCTAAAAAAACGCTCATCGTCTGATAAAAAAACGAAACCTTACACCCTGTTTAGAAACTTGTTCCTTTAAAACGATCCTGTCCTGCACTAAAACCTTAAACCTGAAGGATCTATGAAGTCGCCGCCTCTCTCTCTCATCACCACTCGCTGCACATCGAGCACACCAGCTCACTTCTCTGCCTAAACACTGTAAAACTACTCTGATAATTCAGCCATATGTATTCAAAAGAGTTCTGGAGAGTAACAGTGATATGAAAACCCCCAATCTGCTAGTTGACAGGGTTTAGGTTTGTTACGAATGAAACCCAAAAATCTGTTTTCACTCCAATTTCAAAGTGGAAATGCTCAGCCTGGATGCTGACTGCTTATTTTGCTCATGATATGCCAACAATAACAAACATATGGACAAGTTAACAAGAAAAAAAACCTAATTTTCAACAGATTGTACACAGTGAAGACTGGCATCAACCCTCTTTTGCACTGCTGATATTTCCACGTCTGCTTTGTGTTCGATTTGGCCATAATAAATTGCATCTGTCGTAACTAAATCTCTTGCCCCTTGTTCCTCTACTTAGAGGTAATTCTGTAACCGTATACGTACGAGCGCAGACCACCATCTACAGTCCACGGCAGGTGGTGCAGGAGACATTCAGCTGCTATAATGTCTGCACACCAGTAGATGGTGATGATATAAAGTGCAGCAAACGTGGTTAAGTCTTCACAAACGTTTCCATTTTAACAGTCCGGATAAAAAAAAAAAAAGGAATAGTAAAAGTGAGAAATGATGCTGCATCTGAGTTCATATAATGCAGCAGTGAGAAGATTTCAGTGTGTCAGTGTCTCATGTCCGGAGGGCAGATCACTGCAGATACACTCATAAATAAACCATCACAACCATTTCCTCGCTGATGTCCGATTCAGGAATCCATAGAGTTACATAATGCTCCTGTTATACAGGCAGAATACTTCAATGTGATGGTTTGAGCTTTTGCTTTCCTGTCCACATGACCATCCGTCTGCTGCTCGACACAGAATCAGCAGAGAAGGAATCTGTTATTTCCAGAAATTCTCTCAGCTTTTGATTATATTTTTCTGATTAAAAGTAGGACAATCAATTCGAAAGGTTTGTTCACACGACAGGCAAGACAAAATACTGGTGGGACAGATTGAGAAATGTCTGACCTGGATACCTGCACAGAGGGGTAATGTCAATAATTCAGACAAACCAAGGAAAGGAGGGCATATAGAGCGAGCAGGAGGAAGACGGTCCATCTAAAAGGTGCTCTACTCCTCCTATACTGTACGTACAGCATGCCAATATGTTGTGTGGTATTCTTTAAATATGTATAGAAATAAAAACTCAAAGGTGGAAGGATGACAGCCGCTCCGTTTGTTTGTGTTTGAGAGAAAATCGAACAAGGAGGCAGTAACGTCCTCCAAACACCAAATCCTCAGCGATCTGATTAAAACAAAGTGGCGTTGGGTGCGGAGAGAGTTTTAAACACTGGAAAGAAAAAGAAGAAGGGCAACAACATAGAACTTTACATGTCGATCTATACTGCAGATGGGACAGGTGTTTTAAAATTCATGTATTCTGTAGCACGAGATCGAGGCCATGCACTACATTCATCCCTCTCAGCACTGTGCTGTCACACACAATCGTGCAGATGTTCAGTAGTGTTGTTAGTGTCCTTTTGTTGTGCTTCTACCTGGCCCTTGTTGCGTAGTGCTGGCGATGATCCACTTGACAAGACAGCACTTCATGAGTGATTTACGCGAGAGCCGTGGTTTCTGCCACTTGGAGCCCTCGGTCTGTCCGCCCTGGTTTGGATCTTTCCCATTGGCGTCAGGCAGCAGACCGCCATCCACCGCCTTCTCGTCTGCCTGAGGGAGACAGGGGGAAAAAAAGCCTTTTAACGGAGAAAAGAGAAGCTCTTTGCAGACACTTTAAAACTTTTAAAACTGACCAAACCTCAGATCATGAGAAGGAAAACAAATGCTCCTGTGTGGAAAGGTTGGGTCACTTCCCTCATCGGTTTTCCCTTCATGTGATGTGTGTCTCCTTCAGGCCTAAATAACTGTTTATCAACTGATTTAAGTCAGTAATGACATATTTTCTGTGACATATTTGATTTGGGAGAAAGACAGAGGTTAAGTTGGCTGTACTTTGAGCTACACGTCTCTTACATCTCAGCTCTTGCCAAATAACTTCACACATGATTAATGTCCCTCTATGAACATGGATTTAACCC